TATATATATATATATATAATGTATATGTGTGTATGTGTATGTATGTATGTATATAACACAGAAATAACACATAAAATATTAAAAATATACTTATCTGTGATGTTAATTAAACAAAAGAGATAAATTGTTATAAACTAATTACTGCTATTGTTGCGAAATCTGTCTTGTGAGTTATGTATAACAAATTTCACAACAATGAGAATGAAGCTAAACACAAAGAGGATCGGTTATTAATGCAAACACATTTTAAGACTTTTATCGAGGCAGGCTTTTTATATTGCGTGTTACTAAATTGCATTTGTCTTGTTGGTGATAAAAATGAAAATACGAATGTAAGAATATTTTCGAAGAGAGCATGCAGAAATAAATATCGATAGTATCTCAGGTATAAACTGTTTGCACAAATACCTTACAGCCATCATCTCATCCGCTTTTCATTTCATCCGTGAGAAAAATGACATCCAATTATCTTGTCAATTGATCTCGCTAAATACGAGTCCAAATTCCGTATCTGACCTAGGAGATAAATCCGTGAACCCTATGAAGCGTGAACGATATCATGCTTCCAAATCCACATTCTTCCACATCGCATATCGTTCCCTTAATGAATCCGAGTGATCCGGTGAATACAGCGCAGGCAATTTTATCCTTATCCAAAAATATCCGTCCATGCATACTAATTTATCCCGTTTCGAATCCTGCTAGCATCCTAATCCAAACATATCCGGAGAATCCTGTCCGTCGTACCGTTTGTAAGGAGTTCCTCTAAAATTATGAGGTTCAGTTCCCGTCAAGATGACAGACAGGTAGTGTTACTCAAATGTACCATCCTCTTGTTTATGTCAGTTAAATCCTGAAGACACTGTGGTTTACAATGTACGCGAGAAAAAGATGCACTTGACGGTCACGATTGGTCGAGAAAATAGCAATAGTTATCGGGAAACACGTTTTGTTTGACAATTGGACTTTAGATCGCCGATATTATCGAACAATTATTAGACATGCAACAGTTTTTCCAAAGAATCACTTCCACCTTTCACTAAATACGAAACGTTTCATATGGCTAATAAAATTGAGTTTAGTATTGATGTTATACGTTGTATCAAGAAGAGGATAAATATCATGCAGAAAATCCATCCTTAATGAATGATCCGAAAAATTAATCTTCACTAAAGTTCAAAAAACTTTAGTTATAAACCAAACAGAATCCAGTTATAGTTGACAATCCATTACTAGTTTGACTCAGATTATAAATAAATTAATAAACGCGCGGAATGCTTTTTTTTTCTTTTTAAATCGATACGCGGAAATAATACGCAACTGGAAGCACTTTAATCCTGATAAGCACATAACATAATGAGGAAGTTCCACTCTCGTTATGTTTTTCTTTAAAACAGCGACACACAAAAATATTTAGTTTTAAACTGGGATTCTACTAGTTTTAAAAAGAAATATTAATCGGCATTCATCGCCTCCTCGTAATGGACTTGCCAACGTTTCCTGAGCCAGCAATTGAGAATCCTTTCTCTCTCCTGATCCTGAATTTCCTCTTGAAAGTATCCTGTTTCGCTATTCTCATTTTCATCTATGTCTTTTAATCCTTTTATAATTTATGCTCTCCGTATCGCAAATCCTCCAAAACGCAATCCATCTCATTCCAACGTCAAGCGAATGTGTATTATATCCATCCAAGAAGTAAGATCGTGTTGATTTCAGTTTTTCATTCATTGTGTTACAATCCCAATATACAAAAGAAGAAAAAATACATTAGTTTCTTATGTGATGTAAATTAATATTAGATAGTTTATTAATGCAAATGTAATGCCTGTGATATATAGAATTATAAAATTGCGTATATCTAATATAGACTGTATGAATGACAAAAATTTTAGACATTGAATTTAAAAAAAAAAAAAAAAGAAATTGATATAGCGAAAATTTATCAAATAAACTAAGATCACAGAATTAATTTGCAAAAATAACATGAAATACACAATATTCAATGTTTTCCTTTCCAATGTATGTCAAGAGTTTTAAGATATAATAAAAATTTTCAAATGTGCAATTTAATTATGCGGTTCCAAATATAAGTGAAAGGAAAACACGAACAGAGAAATGCGAACGACAATATATTAATTAATAGTTATTTCACCGCATTTCTCACCGAATTTCTTCGTGTATGTTATTTGAAATTCATCTTAATCTGGATATGCTGTAAATGTCCAGATTATTCATATATATAATGCTGTATATTTTCACATCGAGAAATGTTAAAGATCTAAATAAGTTAGATATTTTGTACTGAAATAACATGAAACGCAATCTGTGTGCAAAATCAGGAAATGACCTATGAAACATTAAAGGTCATCTATTGTCAAATACAATTGCGTATAAAGTGAATTAGATTGTATAGGAGTGATAATAAAAGAATTTTGTGCCAAATATAATTATGTGTGGTGTATAATAAATATTAACTGTTACACTCATATATTTCGTTATGTGTATACGCGCGATATATTGTCATCACTACTTATTCAATTTGGAATTATTTTGATTTCAAACGATAAGTTGCGTAAATGAATCGTGTAAA